TCCAACTCCGCCAAGTATGTGTCGACGCCTCTCCCAGCTCTAAAGGCGTGCTGCCTCTTATCCAGTCGTCCATTCGACTCCAACTCAGTCGTCAATCTGCGGTTCACGATACGTTCGAACACCTTTGCGATGCAGTTGGTCAAAGTGATAGGTCGGAAAGCAGCAGGTCCAGATTCAGAACAGTTTGGCTTCGGAATCGGCACTATTATTCCGGTTCGCCAGCTGATAGGGTAAACGCCACTACGCCAGATTCTGTTTAGAAGCTGCAACAGCGCGATTTTGACGGATATAGGCAGACGTCGGATCATCGGATACCCTACCGAGTCAGGACCTGTAGAGACACTACGTCCTTTGTCGAGTGCCCACAAAAGCTCATCCATGGTGAAGTCCGCGTTATATATCTCGTCGTTGTCCGGAAGAAAATCTACGCGATCCCGTTCCGCTCTTTCCTTCGCTGTTTGAAACAGTTGGGGATAGCTTGAGGTTGCTGATCTCTCACAGTAGTGCTCGGTCAGTTCTTCTGCTATTTCTTCTACCTTCTCCGTGTAGCCATCGGGTCGCTTGATAACCGCCTTGCTGTATTGTCGTTTGCCTCTCAGGGTGTTCATCGTCCGCCACATTTCTGCCGTTGTGCTGCTAGGTGATATTTTTCCGACAAAGTCCTCCCACGAATGTTCCTTAGCTTCCTTCACTGCCTTCTTAGCCGCTGCCTTCGCTTCCTGGAACTGCTTCAAAACATCCGCTGTGTCCGATCCTGCTATTCTGCTGCGCTTCAGTGCTCTCAGAAGTTTTCGACGCTGCTTAATCGTCGTTTTCACTTCCGGGCACCACAATGGTACCGATTTGGAACCAACTCGTCCTGATGTTCGAGGAATGCTAGCGGTTGCTGCTGATAATATCCGATCTACGAACTCATCAACGCCAATCTCGTCATCCGGTTTGATGCTGCTGGAAGTCAGTCGTTCGAACAATGTCCAATCTGCTTGGTCGTAGAGCCATCTTCTTCGCTTCGTGGCGATCTGTGAGAATTCAGGTGAAGAGACGGTGATTGGAAAGTGGTCGCTGCTGTGGGTATCCGGAAGTGTTCGCCACATAAATCTGGGAGCTAGCACCTCTGAACAGATCGAAAGATCTATGGCAGAAAACGAACCGTTTGCTGGATCCACCCGCGTGTGTGATCCGTCATTCAGGATTATCAGATGCTCCGTCAGTGTCTTTTCAGCGATGTAGCGGCCAAGCGCATTCGATGCCGTAGAACCCCAGGCGGGATGGTGCGCATTGAAGTCGCCAAGTACCAACATTGGCGGGGGCAGACGCTCCAAGAAATCATTTAGTTCTGTTTGGCACTGTTGCTGGGAGTTCGGAGATATGTAGATCGACACTACCGTCATTGGCGTCGGAAGATGGATGCGAACTGCAATGGCTTGAATATCACAATTGATATCGATGCGCTCGAATGGAACCCCTTCATGGATGGCAAGGCCCACTCCTTGCTGCCAGTACCGACGATTACCGGTTTGAAGAAGCAGGGTGTAGTTCTTGCCGGCAAAGTCTGGCGCGACCACACGATTATCCACTTTCGTCTCTTGCAGCGCTATAACGGACGGTTCATGCTGGCTGATGAGCAATTTGAGCTCGCTGATGTTGGCACGTAGACCACGTATGTTCCACTGGAGGGCAATAGATTTCGTGGGATGACTACTGCTGACTGTTGCTGATGACGAAGATGATGCTGACGGTCTACGCGTTGGACTTGACATATCGGCCGGATTCCAGGAGGAAACAGAGGGTGCAAGACACTCGTGACTGGTCCCATTCTCGTCCCCCTGAACATCCACTTCCCTCCTGCGAAGGGGGGAGGTTACTTCACGCTCTCCCTCCCCACACCGATTTCGGAATACTGTCTGTTGCAGTAATGCTGACGGTGGAGATGCATCTCGTTGCCTGTAATTTACTGATTACCAATTCACGATATATTCCACGTAAAGTTGAGCGATAATACAAAACCATTAATGGACCTTACTGACTACCATAACCATTACCATTAATGTTCTCAAATCATAAGTAAAAACGTTCTTATATAGTTCTCTTTCTGAAAATGTATGGAGAAAACAAGAATTTGGAATGGTAATGGTTCTTAACGACCCATTATTTGTAAGGTCCAGTTCCAAAAAACCATAATACATAAGGTTGAAACTTTATCATTAAACGTTCATGTATAGTTCCATAACCATTTCAGTTAAAGTTTAGCAGGGATTATAAACAATTTTTAACCATTTTAGGTAAGGTCAATTTATGGTTCGCGTTTATGCGGGATTCCTAACTATGGTTGGGTTCTTTTTTCTTACCGTGTACACAAACTAACGCCATCTTCAGGTTGTGGAAAGTTTCCCCTATTGGCGTTGACGGCGACTCTGTAGCTCTTTACTCCTATGAGAAAATCCATAAGCAAACGTCAGACTGTGCGTGAAACATGGCGGACTTTGTACTATCCTTTCACTCTACCGAAAATTCCCATAAGAAACTATCTAAATTTGCTGGAAGAGCAAATTTTTCGACGGATGCCGTCAACGCCAATCCCATGATGCTGGTAATTTTAAAGCCCTACACAGAAAAACAAAACTACCCACCGCTTGGGTTTTTTAAACTCAAATTTGAGTTATTTGACCTCTGCCCGTTTCATTTCCTCTCGCTATTGTTGTCAATAATAGAACGAAAGATTCGACTCATCCGTCTAGTTCCGTACGAGAAGCCAAAATTGAGTAATATGCGATATACCCAAATTTGAGTTAATTGAACTTAATTTTGGGTAGAAAAAATTGAAAATAACTTAGCGATGGGTAATTTTTTTTGCCGTCCTTAAATGCAAACTACTTTGAGCCGGTTTACCCAAATTTGGCTTATCGTACGGAACATGGGAGACGAGTGAAAAGAACTTAATTTTGGGTTGTTTTGAATTTCTGTATACAGTAAAAGTATGGACGACTGTCACCACAAAACTGAAAAAAGCTGTTCCAATCGAGCAAAGCGGTGCATTTTGACGGTTCGATTGGAACAACTTTTGACAGACGTCCATACTTTTACTGTAGGGCTTTAGGTAATTTACCTTCGATTGGCGAGGAACGAGGCGAGGAAAGAATAATAAACGTTTTGTTTATAAAAGTTGATAGTACCTTTTCAATTGTAGGTCTAGGAATTGGTTCCGCTCTTTGATGTTTTTGATAGATCGATATTCTATTCGCCACACGGAGAAAAAATACTACCCAAAATTTGAGTTCTTTTTACTTAATATTGACTTCAGTCTCTCACTTGCACTCGTTATTGTTGTCAAAAAAGGAACAAGAGATTCGACCCAACGATATAGTTCAGCCCAATGAGTTACTCTTGAGTAAAATGGTAAAATGCATATTCTCAAATTTACGTGAATTAAACTTAATTTTGGGTAGAATATACTTAAGAGTAGGTAATTTTTTTTTGCTGATGTTAAATGGAACCAATGGAACTACTATATGCGATTTACTCAAATTTGGGTTATTGGGCTGAACCCCGGAATTGAGGGAAAAGTACTTAATTTTGAGTAGTTTTTCATCTCCGTGCAGACTATGAATATTGAGACCATAGTATTATCCCCAGCTTGAATCCTGATCAAGTATGTCCGGCTGCTTTGATGTCGACATCAGAGTTAATCAACATGGCTCTAAGCAAACATTTTGCAGATAATCTGAACAGAGTGGATATTAAAAGTTAATCCAAGTGTGAGCTTATCAATGCACAGAAAATGAAAATTACCCAAAGCTTGAGTTTAAACAACCCAAAATTAAGTAAAACCTTTATAGTATCCCATTGGGTAAAAATCAATGTGTTATGATGGTTAATTTTAACTCAACGGTTGAGTAATACGTATATTACCTACAGATGAGTAAAAAACATACGGAACTTTTGTGGGCCTCAATTTACTCAACGCTGAGTAACTTACTATAAAGCTTGTGTTGAGTGAAAATAACTCTGAGTTGGATGAAAAAATACTTCCACGACGACGCCATTTGTGATTTTGCTCCCTTCGAATGAAGTGTTCAATCGCGTGCGACGTCCGGAAGTTTTCTACCGCCATCGGTTTTGTTATTCCTCCATTGAGCGGTCGATTTATTACTTAAAACGCGAGTGGTTATTCATCCTTTTACATAGAAGTACCCGAAGTACCCGACGAGAAGAAAATCTTTTATTTTTTTCGTTCCATCTGGATTCTTAGTGAAGTTTCCTGTGGCTGTTCCATTCTCCTTCGATACCTTCAGTTGTTTGGTTCCGAATCCGTTGTGTATTGCCATACACCGACGTAATCTGGTGAGTTGTGAATCCTAAGCGCTAGTGGAGCGCAGATAATTAATTTCATTTCTGTTGTGTTCTTTTATTTTTAGATATCCGGTACCTACAGCTTCCAGCACAACATCAGTTTCTTGATTTCCGTCCGTTTTTTGATTTGGTTCCTCACGGTGGCGACCGTATGAAGATGGAACAATTAAAGAAAATGGTGGATGATGGGAGCTTTGATCAGTTAACATAATATTTTATTTGTTTTGTTCGTTGTGTTTATTTTTTATTAATTTATTTAACAGTTGAATGAATGACAATAAATATGTTGTTGTCGTCACGGTTTTTATTGTTCTTTATTTTTGACATCTATTCCGGATTACGTGCTCGTAATTAAAAATCCCGGTGAAATAACCCATGGTTGAGTTAATTTGACCCAAAGCTAGGTTTTTTTATTCGGAAAAAGTGGTCGGTAAAATAACCTATCGTTAAGTTAAATTTACCCAAAATTAGGTTTTTCCTTATTGATTGAATTTACTCACTGCAGTCTTTTCTATCATTTTCCCAAAATTAGGTTTTTTCATGTTTACCCAAAATTAGCTTCTCGTACGGAACTTCGAGGTTGAGTCAAAAGAACTCTAATTTGGGTAATTTTTTATTTCTGTGTGACGTTTATATATAAATGTCATTGTGAGCTTATCGCTTATTACATTTTTCTTGTATATATTTTACGAAAAGAATAGTGCATCAGTTTGAAGACAAATATCTAAAGAAGGCTTACTAGAAGTGTGCATACTAATGATGCCAGGAAGATTAGGACTTCCGATTGCCCAGGAAAATCCTTTGTGGATTTCCTGGCACGACTCCAACTGGATACCTATTTTGAATCCGGCAAATGTTATGGATTATTTTTCTGAGAAATCAAACCCCTTTTACGATCGCACTTGCAACAATGAAATCGTTCGCATGCAACGGCAAAGTTTGGATTTGCTCAAGTGAGTACTTATTATTGTTTGATATGAAATGTATCAATGAATGTAATAAATGTTTCTTTTTCAGTAACATGACGGGAGTAGAGTACATTCTGTTGCATGTTCAAGATCCTATTCTATATGTTATTCGGAAGCAGCACAGACACACACCATCGGAAGCAACGCCCCTTGCAGATTATTACATTATTGCTGGAACCGTGTACCAAGCCCCGGATCTGGCAAGTGTGTTTAACTCGAGGATTCTATCCACAGTACATCACTTACAAAGTGCATTTGAGGAAGCCAGCTCATATTCTCGATACCATCCAAGCAAAGGCTATTCATGGGATTTTTCTTCTAATAAAGCACGTGAGTAATGCTATTTTTTTTCCTTTGGTTTGTTTTCCGTCGATCTTGTTTTCCGTGCTGAGCACCAATGCTACCGACGCCAGGAAGGCAGCTCCCACACACCTGGACCCTACCTATATACCCATCAACTCATGAACCGAGGACCAACGGCTTTACTTCCCTTCCAAGGAAGGCGCAATCAGAGATGTTTTGCCTCAGAACATCCCGGCGGCGCCGACTGGGATTGAACCCAGACCTGCTGGGGTGAGAGGTAATCACGCTTACCACTACACCACCGGCGCCGCTAAGTAATTGCTATTGTTATTGTTTCCTTTTGTATACTTTATTAAAGTGATTTTTAGCCTGATCACTTTTATTGTTTGCTATTATGTACTATCAAATCAATAACAATGATAATGTATTTTCCTTGATTTGATAAAAGGTACAACCAGCAGGATATCGAAAAGTAAATAAATTACACATCCCTAGTTTGTATTCTATTCAAAACTGATTTCCCATACAAAAAAAAAATGTTTGGGAAATTCGTTTTGAACGGAATAGAGAATAGGAGTGACAATTATAAGGGGCTGTTCATTAACTACGTAGACCGTTTTTTTGGGATTATTGACCCCCCCCCCCTCCCCTGCGTAGACAATTTCCAATACCCCCCCCCCAGAAACATTGCTACGTAGTTTATGAACAGCTCCTAATTACGATCAATTTTATTAGTAATCAAAAGTTTTGTATTTGTATTTATTTAGTATTACGTTAGCCTGTAGTTCACACTTTTTACCAGTTCTTGAGTCTCACCTATCGAATCCGTATCTCCTGCACGAACTCGTCGCGAAACTTCCCGTTGACCAAAAAACTTTTTAAAGAGCCAAAATCCCAGAATTAGAAGAAAGAAGTCTCAGCCATTTGATTAATTTCATGTTCGCAACCATAAATTTCAAAGTTTGGCATTTTAAATATGTTTTAGTTTTAGAACTTGAAAACTTCTCACGTTCCCAAATATTCTCCTTAGTTCCCCTCCATGTTAGGAATTTTCAAATTTAAATAAAACACCCTGAATATTCAAGATTTCTAAATCCAGCTTTTCTAAACATGAAATCTTTAAAAAAAAAATCTAAGTCCTCAGAATTTCCATTGTTTCCATGAATTTTGATTCAGAATTCAATTCCCTTGGAATTACCTTAAAATTTTCCTTAAAACTTTTGGAATACTCCTAAGAAGAATTATTGTTCTTAAAAATGAAAACCTCAAATTAAATTTATTACATTGTAATTCGTAAATTTGCTAAATAAAAAAATGAAAATACATAAATGTTTTTAAAGATGTTTCAGAAAAGCTTGGTCGATAGAATCTCATAATATGAGGGCGTTTTATTATGTTCGCTAAATGCTCAGAATTTATACTACCAAGAACATAAATAAAGTTGCGCCGATGGTGTAGTGGTAAGCGTGATTACCTCTCACCACACAAGGCCTGGGTTCAACCCCAGTCGGCGCCGCCGGGATGTTCTGAGGCATAAAATCTTTTAGCACGCCTTCCTTCGGAAGGGGTTGGTCCCCGGTCCATGAGTTGATGGGTCGATAGGTAGGGTCCAGGTGTAGGAGCTGCCTCCCTGGCGTCGGTAGGATTGGTACTCAGTACCTTTTGGCAAATTTCTATTGCTGATTATTCATGTATAAGTCAACTAATAAGCAGACGCCTTGCAAAAAGTTAATAAGATCATGTGTCAAATGAAATGTATACGCGGTCACACATACCTTTTATGCATTCTTATAGGACCTATGTGGTTTGTCTTGTGGAATGTATAAGGCTTATGTTTTGGCAAGAATGTATAAGTGAAACACATGAATAAAATAATTGATTTTTGTTTCGTGAACATCGACGGAAAACAAAGATCATAAATAACTGAAGATGATAATTTGTTTCTTCTTTAATTTTCTGAGGGTAGGGTAAGGTGGGGCAGCTAGAACATTTATTAATATATTTGTTGTCCAAAATCAACAGGTTCAATGCGACCCCAATTTTGGGTTTCTTTTTCAAACCAACATTCTGGCTACATTGAGCTTGTTGATGTTGACAATCAAAAAGTTAAATAAATCAAGTAGAGGATCCATCTTGCCCACCTTACCCTACAAACAATACTCGCTTAGCTCATTCGGTAAAGGCGCAGTTATGAAGCAAGTCCATGCTGGAGGTGGCAATGAAAACAGTTTTTTTATTTGTCACGGATTAGTATATGAAGTCGCGGATTTCTTTGAAGAAATCGAGGATCAAATTTTGAAAAAATCATGTAACAGCCCTACAATTGTGATATTGGTATTATATGAAGTTAAGTATGTACATACAATGTTTTAATATATACAATAAATCGAAATGGGTAGAATCTGAAGCTCACTCACTAACTTTATGAATATCGTGCAGTCTTCAATCTATCACAGTTGCACTCGTTTTGCACGTTTTTTTTTTCATATTCTTTCAGTTTCTCGCCTGTTTTACCAACTGGTCCGCACTCGTGTTTATTTCAGTTACCATGGGGACGTAATTTGTGATTAGCCCCGGTCCCTTTTAAATTGTATCATTATTTCAGTACCAACATTTCAAAAGGGCGATACTGACAAATGTAAACAAACTGAGTTTTTATAGAAATGGACAGCAAGTGATGCATTACTATGAACAATTTCATAAAATTTCACAAAAAAACATGTTTTGTCACCCTAAATTAACATTTACAAAAAGGCGTAACTAACTTTTGTTGTTTAGTATCGTGAAGTTAATTTCGCCCCTCGGATTGTTCGCCATCAGCGAAAACTGCATCCAGGTTTGAATTGTGGCCTAATTTTTGATTTCCGTATTTTTTATGGCTTTCATGCGAATATTGCTGTATTTTTTTTATGTATAACATAGTCTCGTAGCCATAGCGTTTACAACGGTGAAAAAAAAAATTCCCAGAGTACCCCACCTACGTATTTCTAGTTGTAGTTGCTGAATGGCATTATTCTTAAATGAATATTACAAGATTGCCCACAAGTCAAACTACCTTAAGATTGGAAACCCCAGAACCCGATTCGGCCAGCAACCCAGCTCAGAATGTCTGGAGAGTCACGCCCATTCCGAGGTTACTTTCACTTACAATAAGCTCCGCATGTATGCATCACCGTTATCAAATGGATATTGGTCTTACATACACGCTTCCAGGTTCGAATATATTCTTTTCAAACCTGGCACGTATTTAGTTTCTGTTTTTTATTAATTGTAAAATGTATTTGGACTGGTCTCACGATGTTAATTTGATCCTCCAATCCATGGGTTCCGTAATTTTGATTTTCTCTAAGCTTTGCATCTCATTTCGTGATGCACCTTTGTCGTAATACTTCCTTTAACGAACACAAATTTTCTTGCATAGTCATGGTCATGGAGGAGGTTTCCGTGTAGTGCTTTCCCCAGGAACAGTTCGCGGTCACCAACTGCCACCCGTCCAGTATCGGGCGTATCCAGCGAGGCATCTTTCATTTTGCTCGCAATCTCCGACACCGGCGAGAGACCAGCAGCCGAGCACTTTTGCAAGCGGAAAACTTGCTGTTTAACGGCAACGTGTAGTTCAATAGAACTCCACGCCGAAAGTGTAGCATCCGAACTCGTAAAACCGGACTGCCAACACCGAACATTGTAACTGAATCTGCGTTGTATATTTTGGAGGTTAGATTCAAGTTCATTCGAGCCACTCAAGGCAAACACACAGAAAAAAATCTGAATTTTAACTATCGCGTAAAATCTCCCTTTTACCTCTCACCCCAGCAGGCCTGGGCTCAATCCCAGTCGGCGCCGCCGGGATGTTCTGAGGCATAACATCTTTGATCACGCCTTCCTTCGGATGGGAAGTAAAGCCGTTGGTCCCCGGTTCATGAGTTGATGGGTCGATAGGTGAGTCCAGGTGTGGGAGCTGCCTTCCTGGCACGTCGGTAGCATTGGTGCTCAGCACGGAAAACAAGATCGACGGAAAAAACAAACCAAAGAAAAAAAAAAAATCTCCCTTCGTTTAATTTTGAGCTACACTTGGCATAAACAGTGAAATCGTTTACCTGCTTGCATACAATATTGCTAATTTATGCGATATTGTGCTTAAATTTACACGAAATATCGCGTAAACTTATGCCAAATCTAGTGCGCTATATCTCGCAGAAATTTATATGAATTTTTCGAACGGTGCAGGCAAAACAACATATATCATCATGATAACTTTATGAACACTTGCAACTTAATTTCAGCACACAAATTAACAAATTTCAACGTGGAGTTTGAAATTTATTTTGTATCTATATTTATTTTTTCTTATCTGATCTTTTTGAAATTTACGTAGGCCTAGTTCATTATTATTTTTCTTTTTGTGTAGAGTTATTCAAATCATCACTTATCTTTTTTTCTGTATTGTATTTGGATTCTGTTCTTACGAGGTTTTTTTTTGCGGTTTATTTAGACTTTTTTGTAATTTACTGAGTTTGTGTGGGTGTCTTAATCAATAATGTTTTGTTGTTTTTGACATCTTCCACATCCAGAGGGCCAGTCACTTTCGAATGTATGGGAATGGTAGGAAACCATTTGGAAATCTATGAAAATTTTCAGTTTTTATTCATTATCGTCTTTATGAGCAGTTTTAGATGCACAAAAATTGCACGAGTACATTACTATGGTGATAAGATAAAAACGCGTTAATTTGTTTCCTTCTGTGAAAGCATGTTTAGTCACAAGTCGTGGATTTTCTGATATTCTCCATACTGCAAAAAATATTTTCCTACCAATGAAGGGGCGACATCTCTCGGATCTTCAGTATAGCTACTATTCAAATCATATAATTAATTCACTCATAAATACATTTTTTATGTGGATTTCGAAATTTATGCGGTTTTAATAAATTCGATTTTTTTATGCGCGGCGCTGTCGTTGGGTAGGAATCAAATTCGGATTACTTTCAATATTATTGATATTTTTCTTGATAAGTGATGTCTGATTAT